GTGGAGATTACCTAGCTTGAAGTGTAACACCTTAACGCTCTTTTAGTCATGCCATATAAACCACAGGATGCCCTGAACACCCCCATGCTGCACTTGGTCCATCCTTTCTCTCATCACTCGTCTTCCTTCTGGTACGCAGCAGCTGCAGGAGCATCCAACTCCATCTCTGCCCACATACCAGCATTAGCCGTGTGCTATGAATATAGCAGAGTTTAGGATGTCACGGAGCATTTGTTTTGCTCCTCTTCCCTCAGGTTTATCCCTTCAAGGTCGGCGGCTCACGGTGCGACGCACAACAAATCAATCAGGCGTCCAGCCCTGACCGGAGGTTTTAAAGGCCACACTTCTTCACATCTTCATCTAAAGGCTAACTTTTACCACAACAGGGAGAGGGGGCAGCATAATTTGTTGATCAGGTTCCTGTCAACAGGTGCCAGGAAATACCGATCTCATTAATGTTTAACACGAGGAAGTGCAGATGAACAGCAGGGGATGAACGTTCTGTTCTGCTGAAGTGAATGTCCATGTTAGTGAAGGCCAGACTGCTGCAGGGTGGAGGGACTGCCAACGGCTTCTATTCAAATCCTGAACACATCAGCACTGGCACCAGGGGTGTGTGTGTGTGTGTGTGTGTGTCTCAGTGTTTGTGTGTTTGTATATAGATAGAGGAACAGGGTGAAGGCGAGGTTAAGAAGTGTAAAAAGGAGTCGTTAGTTATTCGGCAAATCAGCAGAGGCCAATTTCCCCTTTAAGGGCACACACAAATATGTGTTTGTGTAATATGTGTCTTGGTTAAAGCATGCATGTGTGTGCAGGATTCTTTTAAAGAGCACATACAGTGTGAGTGTGTGTGTGTGTGTTTTAATACATGCAGAAATGCGAGCCAGCTTTGAGCAGTAGGGGAGAGAGGCCATGTTCAGTCAGTGTCAGTGAGGACAGAACTGTTTGTTCATGGCTGAGGAGTTTATCCAGGGGCATCAACAGCATCTACACATGACCCCGTGGGTACAGTGCACCAGTGTTATGCATGCCCCCCCCCCCTTCCTCCCCCCTCCCGTGTTCATGCCTTAGCGGAAAACTGGTGCATTTGTTAGAAGAACAAGGACAGATGTACCTCACAGTCATGAACACTATCATCTGTACTGTCCTCCACTGTTTATGATCCTGTTGGTACAGTATGACAACCACAGAGGGCAGAAAACAGCTCAATCTAATAAAAGAAAAAATATTTATGGTATATTGAGGTTCTCTAACAATTAAAATACAATCAAAAAAACTCATAAGGAAAGAAAATATTAACCTTTTGCACTGCTGCTGTTGTTTATTAAGAAAACATAGGATAATATCTGGGAAGAATTTATCTAATGGCCCTTTTGCAGTACCTCCACGGGCTCTGTAGGCGTCGCCTACCCCGGATTGAAGACCTCAGTCCTGACGCATTAACTTGCAGCCCTGTGATTGACAGACTGGTATTTGCATCGCATTTCCAACAGAGGTACCTCATGAACTGGCCACAGTATTAACTCAGATGACTGTGCACGTCTGGAAAATACCAAAGATCGACTTAAAACTGAACCTGCCGCAGCTGCAGCTGCAGCTGCAGCAGCTGTATGATGGGAAAATGTCTCAAAATGCCCCACATGTGCATCATTTCGTTTGTGGCGTTAACAGGAAACACGCAACGTTTTCTCTGCAGAGGCAACAAGTCCCTGCCGCAGCTTCACTGTCACAGCCACTCACATTCTTAGGGCTTCACTCCCACCGCCGAGGCTGCGGCTGTTACAAAGTTACCAATGCTGCACACACACACACACACACACACACAGCAGCAGCTCCACGGACCACCAACTTTTACATTCACATGTGCAGGAATGAAGGCAGCGCTTACCGGAGACGCCGAGGTAGAAGAAGCGGAGAGAGGGAGAGCTGGTGTCCAAAGATCAGCATTCAGCTGCACACAAAGTGTTCCTGGTGCGTTCACACTCTTTTATAGCCCGGTGCCCACATGAAGCAGAGGAGGAGGAGGAGGATGGTGCTGTGATGAAGAGGCTGCGGAGACCCCGCCGCTCAGCTCTGACACACCGAGATGTTCAGTTCACTTCACTCTGAGTCTGAGAGAGCCGTACACACACAGAAACACACACGGAGACACACACACACACACAGAGAGAGAGAACAGAGAGGGGAGGGTGGTGGGAGGAGAAGCATTAGGCATCATGGGAAATGAAGTCCACAAATTATAAGTCCTCAGGTCTGCTTTGAGAGGAGGTTCAGACTGTCAGGTCAAATGAAACATTTTCGGAAGAATAAAAATAAATCCATAGATGGTATAAATATAAGTGGGCAAACCAAGGCCATTGTTGGAGTGAAGTCAGTCTGAAGTGTGCTAGTGTTTTATTCTTAACTTAAAATGATGGGGTCAGTTTTGTAAACAACAGTCAAATGTGGCTAGATTTTTTTAAATTAAAGAGTGTAAAAAATGTAGGGAGGTGAAAATGATTTACTCACAGCTGGATCATCCAATGGGGTTTTGACTCCTTCTGCCATATCTACCATCCTCACAACATCGGAATGTTCACTGTTGAATTGGAGGCATGTTCTCCAACATGTTCACACAGGAAACTGGAGGACGGTCCCTCTGTCACTGACACCCAGCAGTGACTTTTTCCCCCATTTTTCAAATTCTGTCTGAGTTCGTTGGACTGCATTTTGAAACTGTCAAATCACAGGCCTCATTGAGCAGAGAGGGTTAGAAAATAGTCAGGTCAAAAGGTCATAGACATTCTGACCATGCTTAGATCAGGTTCTCCACACGCTCGTGAACAACAGTGACCTAACCCCAGGGCTTCACTTTAGAACTGGGGGCCTTCAGTTTGTCCTGGTCCATGGTTGATGTTGGTGACACTGAAGGAAAATGACCTGTACCATAAACCATATATAAGGAATGGAGGGAACTGTCAGTAACTGTCACTTCAGCCCTTGAAAACACAAATACTTCCCCCACATAATTACAATCCTATTTAGAAGAAAATATATACTAAACATGACTGTGACCTGTTGTACAGACTGCCTGGATACAGACAACTTTAATCGACAGGTACCTGGGGTTGACCACTGTTGGCAGAGGTTTGACTTGCTGTGTGTCCTGATCACTGCTGACATTACAACACAGCTGTCCCTCAGATAAACACAGTAAAAGTAGCTGTGACTTTGACCCTCGCAGCCACAGGTCAAAGTACTTCAATGTATTGTAATAAAGCAGTTGTACTGTCATTACATATATTTATCTATCTGTTCTGCCCAGTGTGTAATTTCTTACCTTATATTCACACGTACACTGGGTGGAACCCTTGACTGTCAACTTATAAACTTGCAGTATGAAGAAACGTACTATAGTAACAAAGTAATAAAAAAAGGTAGTAAAATAATACTGGTATTCTTGAGGGAACATTTCAATACAGAGGAGTATTAGAGTCACATTTAAAACTTTTTGTTTTGCCGAGACAAAGATGTTGACAGATGAAATTCCTTATTGAGACAATACAAATTATTTTAGGGCAACTATCCCTCAAAGATCTCATTGTTTCTTCGTGTGCCTTTCTCTTACTGTCGTATTAATGGGCGTATAGTATGGCTAAGTGTATGTGTGTGTGTGTGTGTGTGTGTGTGTGTGTGTTCGGGTTAGTGTAGGGTGTGTAAAGGAAATGCTTTTCCCCTTCCAGTAGCCATAAGTCTAAATTTAGAGCTCCGTTCCTCCACTGTCTCACAGTCACAGCCTGGGTCGGGACGTCGGCCTGTTGGCACTTCAGGAAGGCAGCTTTTTCAGTTTGAAACCTGGTGAAGTTTGGATGAAGTGTAAAGTTGTGTAATGTTGAACTGTAATGTTGAACTTAGACTCACACACATTTGTGTGTGAGTGTCACATGCTCTGGAACACAATGGCTATAAATATCCTGAAATGCACTCCAGGAAGTGCAAACACGAAGAAGGGCTGATGATTTTTAAGGAGGGTGAAATTGAAATCTAGGCTTAAGTCAAATAGAATGAAATGGAAGAAAATGCAGAAAATAATTTTCACAGCAAACCAACCAGAGTTTCACTTTGACAAAATATCAAATGTGACAACGTTCCCTTTGCAAATGGCCGTTGTAATTTTGGCCCTCGACTCCTCCTCCATTACGGGCAGACATGTAGCCCTGCTCCTTTCAGCAAAACAATTAATTCTATAATTGAGTTTGACATTAGTGCCAACACAGCCAACATTTGAATGTATTTTCATTACCAAAATCATTTTTATACAGAGACGCAGGTTTTGACCTTTCTATTTCTACAGAGTGCAGCGAGGACCCGGGACCGTTCTGTATCCTCCACGTCTATTTAATTATGAGAGGTGTCTGTTTGACTGTCTATTTGCTTAGCGGCACCTCCTTTATTGACTCAGTGCCTGACAGACCACTGGCTGCTGTAATTGTGTTGTGTGACATGGCTCGTCAGATGATTACAGGAAGGTGTCACAGTTGGTTTCTCTCTGAGCTGACACTAATGAACTCTGTCTGATCCTGAAATGGATATAAGTGTTACACAAATTGCACAGAAATTGCATTTAAAATAGCCTATCAGATTGCCACTAATACTTGGGGTGAAAATGGCCTTTGACCTTGCTCATCGTTTTCTCAAATAAAAGGAATGAGGCCATGTTTAATTAACAAATCTTTACATTACTTGAACCAAATAATTATTTGACTTGGGAAAGCTCTAATCTTTGGCATTTTTGCTATATTATTTTATCATTTCTATGCTAGTGTTTAATTTAAATTAGTGCGTTAAATTAAACTATTATATGGAATAAATTATATCATTATGTTAATTATTAATAATGAATTATTATTAAGTTAAACGGCTATTACAATAATATCCACATTAAAATATATATTAATATATCCACGTTTTGGATTCAGGTTTGCGAGTTTTTTGTCTTATGGCGCCCTCTTCTGTCTTATAGTATCATAAACGCTCTGTCGCTCATGTTTGACGTCACAGTACCAGAGACCAACATGGCTGCCTCCAAGAAAGCGACCGTGGTGCTGAAGGCTGTAAAGAAAATAATGGTGCAGTTCTCTCCGTTTGAGTCCAATGTTCGGTCCACACGGTAAGAGATGTGTATTCGTCTGGTACTCATGTTGTGACGTCATGTGTTTTTAACTGCACTGCGAAAATAAAATAAAAAAGCAAATGTTTCCTCCGAAAAGTACTCGCTGCGGGCTTTTGTCATTGACATTTCCTGTGAGGTTTTGTGACCAGATGTGTGATTATCTGTTTTGTGTGTTTTTCTGTACACACAGTGTTTCGAACAGTTTTCGTTTTTATATCGATCAAATACAGTACACAATGAAAAATAATATACATATTGATACATACAATATACACATTGATCCTGCAGATTGCAGCAAAATTTGTTTCAGTCTATTCAAGATTAAACTGAAGGTTTTTACTGGTAATGTTACATCTCTGGCTTTATAGGGTCACTAGGCTACAGAATGTATGGATTATTCTGCGTTTGGAATTCCTATAGCCTGAAACTAAACTGCGTTCCTTAAATGATTAGAGACTCTGTGCCATTATTTGAATAATATGACACCTTTTAATATCACGCCGGGAAAAATGGAAAAAGAAATATGTTTCCGCCCGGTTTCGAACCGGGGACCTTTCGCGTGTGAGGCGAACGTGATAACCACTACACTACGGAAACTTGTGTTGTGTTAAACAGTCCTTTTATCACTGTGCCTTGTCGACTTCTCAGTTCTCAATATTTTGTTTATGGCTGTAATGAAACATGTGACTCTTTTGTTAATGTTCAATGTTCTCCTTACTTCACAGGGAGTTCCTGGCCATTGTGGGCTCAGAGAAGGCCAGGTCCACCAACATGAACTGTGAAGTTCTAACTAAAGTGAAACATGATAAATCTGAACCCATAGTGGACGTCACCTTCTGTAAGTAGTAACTGAGGTTAACCAGATTTGACTTTCAGCTACACTTAGAACATACTAAAAAGTACAGAGTGATTATTATAGAATTCTACTCTAAAGTCACAAGTCTGCAGAGAGTTCCTCTGATTCAGCTTTCTTATACAAGATGTCGCAGGATTTGAGGGACAACAAAAGCAGGAAATGCATTTATTTCCAACTCTGAGCTGGCGTCTGATTGGCTAATCACCCGCAGCTTGTAAATCAAATATTTTATTAATTTTTCTGCTTGGTTTTCTACTGATTTCTTCAGTCAACACTTTCTAAAATGACAGGAGTGCAGATGTCGTTGTGTAAGTGCTAACAGACACTAAGGAGTGAATTTCACACTCACGTGCACACAATGACTCAGACACTTGGCCAATGCAGGAAAGTCTGCCATAGGTCAGCAGAGCATTGTGTGAAAGAAGCAGTCTGTGTTCTGTGACTTCTGTTCACAGTGAACTGTTGCACTTCTCACACTCGGAGACCATTTTGTCACTGGTACTGTTCCTGAGTTTCCTCTTGTTCTGGTCTGCAGCAGACGGAGAGCGGCTGCTGATGAAGGGAGCAAACCTGACCGGCCGTGAGATGCTGAGTGCCTTCCAGTCACGGTGCATAGCCAAAGACCCGCAGGCTCAAGCTGCAAAGAAGAAGTGAAGAATGTGTTGTGTTTATCTGTGTACATTTATGTTAATATACATTTGTAATAAAAAAGTATTTGATCCAAATGTTTTGGTACTGTGATCTCTCTCCTGTTTGACTTCAGTCTACATGAACTTCGCTACAGTCAACCCTGACAGACAAACATTACGTAACAAACAGAACAACTGTAACCTTTTGACACTGATACACCCATGATTGTAGTGATGACTTGTGTAGTAATCTGTTGTGATAGTAACTCACTGCTCTTTAACTGCTGCATGAATGACATTCTAACTACGGTCTGAATCAGAATCAAGGAAGCCTTTTGCCAAGAATTGAACTGTTTTACATTTGTCAATCAAGTGCAGGTGCCTTCTAATGAGGTTGTCTTTTTACAGTTTGATGATTTAGACCCAACTTTCCCACAAAGCAACTGCGAGACTTGTTAAAACAGATAAATGAGCAAAACAATGTGTTTAACGGCTCAGGCCCCAAATATCTTTAAAATAACATTAAAACAGTACAAATGTTTGTCACTCCTCAAATAAAAGTAAAACGCACACGTGTATAACTAGTTGCAAAGTTGAAACCGGGTATGTTTTTCGGTGTCTTTGTTCCGTTATAAATTCATCCAAGTCCGCGTTCGTTAGTAAAGACTTAATATATGGTTATATTTATTTCGTGAAACCTGGCAACCCTCTAAAATATATAACGGTGATAAGCCAGAAGACCATTGTTGATCAATGTATAATACTCCAACAAAAACCTAAACAGCCTGGCGCTCGTAGTGTATCAAGAAGAAAAAAGATAATGGGAAAAAATATACTGATTATTAGGCGTGTAATATGACGTAGAAAGTCCGTGATTGGCTGATTGGCTCTCGCTCCTGCGTGACTCTGCCGCTGGCCCTTTAAAAGCGCACAGCCCAGATTCCAACAGTGCAGGAGTTCTAAAAGCACAAGTTCGTTCTGAGAACATCACAAACTTCAGGCACACTCTGCAAACATGGTCGAGAGCTTTGTCGGGACGTGGAAGATGGTTTCCAGCGAGAACTTTGATGACTACATGAAAGCAATCGGTAGGAATGATCTCTGGCGCCCACTTCAGTCCATCAGTAGAAGTGATAGAATGACGGGTTCAGTTACTCTTGTTGATGTATTACTGATGAATTAATTTCTTTTTCGTTTGATTGAAGGTGTCGGGTTCACAACCCGTCAGGTGGGGAACCGCACCAAACCCAACCTGTTAGTATCGGTGGACAGTGAGGGGAATGTATGCCTGAAGTCACAGAGTACGTTCAAAACCACTGAAGTCAAGTTCAAACTCAACGAGCCCTTTGACGAGACCACGGCGGACGACAGGAAAACAAAAGTCAGTCCAGTTTGAGCATCATCTGCTGTGGAGGGAAAACAAATAACAGTGAGTTGTTAACACAGAGTAACGGGATTTAACGGCGTGTGTTTGTGGTATTGCCTCTGCAGACCGTGGTGACTCTGGAGAACGGGAAACTTGTGCAGAAACAGAGCTGGGATGGGAAAGAAACGAGTATCGAGAGAGAGATCACCGACGGGAAACTGATAACGGTAAGGATTCTTCTCGTCCTCTTTCACACTTCTTCTTAAATGTAAGTGTTTGTTACTGCAGTGGTCCTCAAACTGGGGGATACGTACCCCTTCAGGTACCTCCAGATGTGAGGTGAGAAAATTGATGTATATTTAAAAGATAGCATCAGTCGAATTTCAGATAAATTTTTAATTTAATAAATCAATAAATTACTTACAAGGTGAGGGGGGGCTCACCTTATACAACACACACACCCAGAGAGAAAATGGACACTGGATAATGTAAGAGGCCGAGTCAGTGCTTTGCTCAAGGCAAGAGCTTGAACTACTCTACCACCATGTGGCTAATTATGAAATTGAAAATAAAATTAATTATTTAAAAATCAGAATAAATGAATGTACATGACTGAACCAGTTTAAGGTCAAGTCCATTTGTTATACATGGTCTATGAGAACACTGGAAATCTGGACCGTGTGCTGTCACCATGTGGCCGACTTAATAAATACTGCAATAATTGTCCACTTAGTTAAACCTAAGAATGACAGTAAGTGGCACACTGTGACCCAGATTTAGAACTTCAGTGTCTGTGGACTCACTCACTCTTACCGTGTCTTTTCTCTCCTCTGACAGAGATGCGTTATGGGAGAGGTGGTCGCAGTGAGGACATACGTGAAGGAGGCATGATTGGCTCCTCTGGACTCACTCCTCTCAGAAGCGCCGCTGGACGACAGGCTCAGTTCAATGAGCACAAGAGTCAGACTGAAGTAGCAGCGTCTTCTTGTTTTCTTTATACTCTCTCTCTCTCTCTCTCTCTCTCTGTGTTGCCAGAATCCAAATTATTTTGCTCCTGTTCTCCATCATGATGCATTTGTTATGATTTGAATTAAAAAAAAATAGGAGAAACTTGTTGGCTCTGGGGTGTTGTGTGATATCTGGTTCCTCACTTCACTATAGTGGTGTAGCGGTTGGTGCCGTGACTGCTGGTTCCTCACAATAAGGTCAATAGGTCATTGTTTCACTTCCACTAAAATACACATTCAATTTTCCTGATACTGCAGTTTAACCAAGAACATGCAGATTATTGGAAAGGATAAGTGACCGTGGGTGTATGTTGGCTCTATGTCTCTACATGTACCGTAGCACAGATGGACTGGCACAGAACCTGCCTTTTTTCTCAACATTATCTGGGATTATCCATCATCACCATTAACAGGATAAGGCAGCTGAAGATGAAGGAACATTCTTCAAAGTATTACGGTCATTAAGGCATACTCAGGAATGTGCACTAATGAGAACATAGCATCTAATCTGACAAGTGGTTTTACTGACCGCATGGTCGATTCTCATGCCTGACTGAGTTTTACTGGAGTTTTTTACCACACACAAAACATTTGGACGTAGAGGTTCTGCGTACCTTCTAAACACATAAACACTCAACAGCCAACATGATCCTGACATATTTCCCACTTGAAGGTCAAGACCCGTCACTCTGGTGATGTATGATGTGTGTTGGCAGGGCGCTGCTCAGTGAAGAATGTGAACTCTGTCCAGGGCTGCACAGAGGC